TTATTATTATTATTATTATTATTATTATTATTATTATTATTATTATTTATTATTATTATTTATTTATTTATTTATTTACTACTACTAGTAGTAGTAGTAGTAGGGTTATTTTTGTTCCACTGTTTCTGTCCAATGGTTAGCAGATCTGAAAGGATCTTTCAACCTTTGCAAAAGTTAACTTTCCCAGCTAATGACTTTTTCGGGTGGCCGGCAATGTCTTGGGCAAGGCCTGGTCTCATAAGAAGCATTCTGGGCCCCCTTTACAAAGTGTGTACTACGACAACTGCTCACAGGAATCAAAATGCAAACGGTCGGTCGATAAAAGTAAAACACATCTATTTATTTTATTGGCACTTCTACGGGGGTAAAAAAAAATCCGTGTTCATTTCTAGTTAATGCATGTCAGCATAAGAAAACAATGCTGTAAAATGTCATAAATACGGTGCCGTATTTCTATGATTACAAGGTGCATTGATCAGTACGGGACCTCTATGCCCCGTGGGGCCCACAGGCAAGGGCCCAATCGGGCCCATGCCTTAAGACAGCCCGGGCCTTCGTTGCGGCTGCGGTGGTGTTGGTTGCCGTGGCATCGCCATCCCTTGATCCCTTTGCCTTGATGGCTAGTTGAGCTCCAGCTCTTTTGTCTTAGGAGGCCAGGAGGGGCTTTGTTGGCTGTTAAAATAACTCACAGATCAAAGGGCTTTTTTTTTTGGAGGGGGGGAGGAAGGGGTGGATGCGAGGGGACGGATGGCCAGCAGAGAGAGAGAGAGTTGGGATTGTGAGCGACTTAGTGGTGGCTTGGCCTGAGAAAAGCGAAGGGATTCTGGATTTCTGCAAATAAAAGTCGAGCTGAGGACACTTGTTGGGCTTTCTAAGCGTTTTGGCTTTTATGTAACCACGGGGAGGGTTTCAAAGGTAAATCAAATTAATCGGGACTGGCAGAAAGAAAGCCGGGAAGTGGGAAAAAAAAATGCTTCTGGGAACATGGGTAGAGAAAAAGTCGGAAAGCAAAGAGGATTTTTAAAATAATAATAATATGCTCTTTTCTTAAGGTGTTTCTTTACTGAGTCAGCTAGGCTGTCAAACCCACCTGCCCCACCCCTCAATCCGGTGAACAGATTCTTCTTCTTCTTCTTCCTCTTCTTCTTCTTCTTCTTCTTCTTCTTCTTCTTCTTCTTCTTCTTCTTCCTCTTCTTCCTCTTCTTCTTCCTCTTCTTCCTCTTCTTCTTCCTCTTCTTCTTCTTCCTCTTCTTCTTCTTCACCTTCTCTTCCTTCTCCCTTCCTCCTCCTCTCCCCCTGGTCTTAACAGGTCCGCCGTTAAGTAAACCTGGGTGATGCTTGGGCCAACTCGCCCTTGTGGAGCTCGGGGTCCTCGGAGCTTTCTTCCTCTCTCGCCTCTCCTGCAGCTTCTGACTGACCAGGAAAAAGGCCCCGGCCCCTTTGTAAGCCCGCTTCAGAGGTGAAAAGCCCAGGCAGAGAGGTGAGGGTGGAGGTGGGGTGAGGATGCGTGGCGGCCACTGACTTTCCCGTCCCTGCATGGAAGAGAGGGCCAACTTCGCTTGCTTCTCCACGGCTGGAGACAGCCAGCAAGCCTCCACGGGGGACAGCAGCGTTCCCATGGCGCCCAAGTTCACAGCTCCTGGTGGAGTTAAGCCTGGTCCAGGCATCCGAGCCTGGGAATGCCAAAAGCTGGCAAAGGAAGAAGCTCTTGGCTACGCTTGGATCATCCCCCATTCTTTGGGGTCTTGGCTGCCCCCTCTTAGTCAGGGCTACAGCTGCCGGAGGAGGCTGGGGGTGGAGGGAGAAGCCTGGCTTGCCAGTCTGCGAAGTGACTGGAAGAAAAAAACCTACAGCCGGCCGAGGCCTTACTTGGCCTCGGCCCTGCACGTTTGCAAAGTCGCCGCTGTTCCCCCCCCCCCCCCACAGCCAGAGCGAGGACAGACAAAGAGAGAGAAATCCTGCAGGGAAGCAGGAGCAGGCCTGGTTGGAGGAGGAGGAGGAAGAGGAGGAAGGAGAAGAAGAAGAGGAAAAGGAGGAAGAGGGAGAAGAGAGGAAGAAGAGGAAGCTGGGTTACCCAATTAAATAACACCATCAAGGATAGAAGGGAGAGGCGTTTGCCGAGAGGAGGAGGAGGAGGAAGAAGAAATGACAATGGTCAAAATACTACTATTGGTAGGGACAAGAATGGAGAAGAACAATTATGCGACAACCGGGGAGTGAGGCCCGCCATTCTCCATCGCTGGGCTGGGAAAGAATTTGGGGAAAGAGAGAGAAGCAGCTGGAGGCCTTGGGGTGCGGCCGGCCTGGAGGAAGCCAACCTGCGAGGAAGGACGGCCTCTCTTCCTTCGGTATTAGGAAAACCGGCAAGGCCAGGCGGACACTGGGAAGATGCTGGCTTAATTGAGATGGTTTTTGTGCCCGAGAACCCAGGGAAGAGTTGGCTTATTGGTTGTGTTTCATTCTATGGAGCCTTGTGGGTCAAGGCAGCGCCTTTTTCCAGGTTGGGGAGTTTGTCTGGAAAGGGGGTTCCAGCTTGGACACCCCGAAAGTGGGAGGCGGAAAGCAGCTGAGCAGATGACCAAGCCAAAGAAAGTTCGTTGCAAGCTTCACAGCTACTACTTCCAGCCTATTAAGATCCCCGTGTAAATGTTGCGGTAACTAAGGGGGCCGTTTAGCAAATGTTAGTGGATTTTTCAAGGCATCCTCGGGCTGTAAAACTGGGGGGTGGGGGGGAACGTGGCGAGCCAGTCCTTGAAAGCCTGGGGGTGGGGGGAATTGGGGGGGGCAGTCGCTGTCTCTCAGCCCTAGGAAGGAGGCAATGGCAAATGACTTCTGGAAAAACCTCGCCAAGAAAACGGCAGCGATTCACGAGAATTGGACACTGTTGAATTGGAAAAAATAATAATAATAATTTAGCTGGTTAGCAAATAGTAGAAGGTGCGT